GACTTTTCGCAGTCTGCCTCAGTCCCCCAACAGCCTGCGCGGCCCTTGGTAACCCGTGCGACGACCGAGCGGGTATAATATTCGATGGCGTCAATACGATGAGTGGCAGATGGCTGAATTTTACGGAGACTGGCCACGGTCTCCAACCCTCCTCCTTTCTCATCCGGGCTTGGGACCGGCCATGGCGGAGTTCAGATTTACTATTCACGTTTTTAAATTTATTTTGTGTGCCTGTGGATTGAGTTATATCCGTTTATGTTTGAGTGTACATTTGTTCGATCTAAGAACTTGACGCCGTTTTGGATCTGTGCGGTTTAGGTGCTATGGTACTCTGGATGGCCCTCGCCTGCTTGCAGGATCCCCAAGGCTATGAGAAGCAACGTTGCAGTGAGACAATGTATATATGAGATAGCAATGTGAGTGACGAAGTTTATATAACTAGAAAATTGATTGTATCTTTTTTCTGTACGCTGTGTTGTTTGTTTTGAGGTCTATAAGTTGGAAACGGTCGGTAAAATGTTTTTTTTCTTCTGTTAATAGTGCTAGGGTATCGTGCATGCCTGACAAACATTTTCTCATGTATATTTTAACTTTAATTTGCAGTAGCTTTTATTTTTCAGCACCGATGAGGGTAAAAAAATTTGTAAAAAATTCAAGGCCTATCCGGATAAAGTGGCGATTAAACATTACCAGTAAGTCAAGCTATGCGTTCCGCTGTGTTTTAATTAATAGTTGCTGAATTCTCTCCAGTAACGGTGAGTTCAACAGAGATTACGAAAGGCCGAGAAAGTTGGCTACGATGGTACGATTTTTGTCTGACCCGACCGGGGAACCAGCATGGGAAGAAGATCCTGCTAGCGTAGACGTCGTCCACATGCACTCGTCGAAAGTCTGCTTTTAAATTTTGTTTTCAGATTGTGGAACGTGATCATTTTCTTTCTTTCTTTCAGGCTTTGCTGTCTTATTTAAAGAAAGAAAAGCTGCCCGTTTTCGTCATGTTCTACGCACCGTGTAAGTTTCAAGTGCCTAAAAATTGTTTGTCATGTCGTGGCGTCTCTTGTTACTATTTAGGGTGCACCCACTGTAAGAAATTGAAGTCTCCTTTCGCAGAGGTGGCTACTGAACTGAAGGGAAAAACGGTATCCGCTCTGACTTTCGTCTGACATTTGCGGCAGCCAGTAGTCGTTTTTGATTTAGGTGCTGATAGGCGTTGACCTGATGGAACAGGAAAATCGACCGATTGAGTCCGTCTACAATATCACCGGCTTTCCGACCCTTCTCTACTTTGAGTAAGTGATTGCTAGATTTTGTTGTTCAAGAATTGATCAAGCCATTCTGTGATTAATCTGTCTTTTAGACAGGTTTAAGGCTTTGCTTGTTTGGATACCTTTCTGAACCCATTGTTCAGCCGATCTACTGATCTGTGGTTGAAGGTATAAAAAATGAGATGAAACTTTAACTTTATTGCTCTTGAAGTTAATCCGTAGTTGATATTTAAACCGCTTTAGTCTTTCTACTTCCGGACCACTGTCCATAATCATCTTGGTATATTTAGCTATGTCTAAATGCAGTTAAGACCTGAACTTGTCGCATCCGTTTTGACTTGCATTTGGCAAATGAATAACGTGAGACAGGTCGTCGAGAATCTTGCTGACGAACTGTTTGGTGCTGTATCGACTTCAAAACCTCAAGGTGGCGCCACGTATCCACAGGTTAAATCGACATGAAATACGCTGTAAGAAGAACATTCGTTAAGAAAGAGATTCATGTCTGTGCCAGATTTATAGGATGTTGCCTTATAGAGTCTCAATCGCCAGAAATAGGCTGACCAAACTATGTTTTGTTTTGATAGTCGTTAAGCGGAAAATGACCACAGGGTGGAAGTTACTTTTATTTCGGTATTTTTGTGTTCGCTTTAGAATAAGTGCCTTATGTTATTAGACATTCAGTCCTTTTGAGCAGATACTAACTTAACTTTAGTATAATCGATTAGCAGGACATAAAAGAATCTTTTATCAAATCGGCGTTTTCTTGACTTTAAATAATTTGCGTTACCATGATTTTTTGGACTCGCAGCTGACTCCTGGAAGACTTTTAATTCGCCAGCGTATCAGAAACGTAATCAGCTTAAAAATTTCTGAATCAGGTTTGGGTTATGGTGTTGTGTATGAATATGCGACCATTACAAATGTGAAAAAGGACATCACTGTTCTTGCAACTTTAGATTAACTATTTTAATGTCTTTAGATTAACATTTGGCAGCGAATAGCGATCAGT